CTGTTATTTATATTTCGCTGTCAAAGTGATCTTTTGTGTAGGTCTCTGAAGGCTGCAACATCGCAGTAGACTCCTATTTTTTTTGTTGGTGAATGGTTTAAGGCCCTGTATGTTCGCAAATATAAATGAAGTCGTATTGCGTGTTTGTTGGGGGGGGGGGGGGGTTATATACCCGATCAGCCAGACTGTGGTTTGTACGTCGGACTTTGTACGGCCAGCAGCAATAGCCTGGTTGATCAGGCCCTGATCCACCCCAAGGCCTGGTCAAGGACTATACCGCAGTGGATCCTCCATCAAGAGCCACCCATTCAACTGTTTTAACAAGGCCATGATTTGTGTGGGTCAGTGGACGGACTGTTTGTACCCAGAATTACTATCAGTCTCATCAGTTGGTGTGATTCCTAGTTTCTCTTCCTTTTTCTTTCTTTGTTCAGAGCGATACTACCATGAACGAGAATAGTCTACATGACAATGTGAAGTGAATGTTATCAGGAGTGACCTACGCAACACCCATTAATAATTAATATTGTGAGTTGCGTAGATAAGTGTTTGGAGATTCGAGTTCGAGTTCTGATGACCAGAGCTTTGGTAAGATGGGTAAGGAAGAAGGATGGGTAAGGATGGAAATATTGGAAAAGGGTGGGAGGGGGGGGGAGAGGTAGGATATAAAAGGTAAGTGGCCCAACCACTTTGGTGCAATTTAAAAGTGTATGTGAATTGATAAGATATTCTTTAAGGGGTATAATACTAACCCATCAGAGTCACATAGATATAATAGGTATATAACTACATGACTCTGAATTGGTAGTAGTTATACAAGTTGCAATTGCTTTTTTTTTTTTTTTTCGCGATTGCACAACGGATATTTATACGACAAGAAAGGCAATAATTTTCTGGCCAGTTTATAAGTTCGTGACAATAGCTTCTTAATGGTGGTGCCCAACCATAGTAAATAGCATAATTCCTCCCCCTCCTCTTTCTCTTCTCCTCCCCTCTTCTTCCTCTTCTCCTCCCCCTCCTCTTCATCTTCTCCCCTTTCTCAACCCTTTACCTCCCATTCCTTTGGAATCATTTTTTCCCCGCTTTAAACATTCACACTGTCAACACTAACTTGCGACTGTCATAACTAATTCACACACATTACACAAGTCATAATCACGACGCAAGTAAAACTATTCCAAATCTATTTTCCACATTCCACAATTTATGTCCGTGAAATTTTCCATTTTAAAGTCTACGTTCTTGAGCAAATTTGGTCGAAAGGATAAAACTTCCCCATTATTTATGTCTCAAGATGTTGAACGAACGAACGAGGACTCACAGGTAAGACCCACAGGTGGGTGAGCGGGGATGTGGACAGACGAAGAATAGTGAGAGGAAGGTCTTGAGTTGTAGATATAGAACCGGGGCTAAACCCAGCCGCAAAGCATTGTGAAGCAGATAACGAGGACGATGTAAAAGGCACGAGAACATAACAGAGGCTGGCTGCATTTTGCATGTAGATGAATGGTTCAGAGACCCGACAAGTTGATAAATTAGACACATGTGCAAGACTTGGGTATCTTTATTGAGGAAACGTTTCGCCACACAGTGGTGAAACGTTTCCGCCCACCATGCAAAATGCATGGTGGGCGAAACTCAGTCTTGATGGTGATTGTTGGCTGGCGGTCGGCAGGAAGGAAGGTTGTTGGAGATGGAGAAGGGTAGCTGCTACATGGTGAGTGGTCGGTGGAGAGAATTTATTTGCCGTTGTGACGATGTTTTACAACTTCCAAGTCTTGAATCTTGACACAGGAACAATGTTGAGTCTTGTTTTCTTATAGACGACATTGACTAGATCTTTTGTGAACTTGATAATGTCGGCAGATGGTGGAGAGGCTGGGAAGACGAACATTGAGCATGTTGTTCAGCAAAGAGCTCGTTAATTACAGTGTTAAAGGATCTAGGGATTGCCATATTATGCACGTGGGCGTACAACAGACAGTAATGAATTTTCGTCGGTTCACAAGTTGGAGGAGTGATGGTGGTAGTGGTGGATGGTAGAGTGGCCTTTAGAAGTTTTGTGGTGTCTGCCTGAAGTTTGGCGATGGCAGCATAGGTAGGGGACTTGGAAGGTAACTTCTTCTGTTCTGCATCCTGGGTCTTCTTCAGAACTTCATGACATATAGGGCCTCGGGCAGCAAGAGTATGATGGTCATTCTTGCAGTGTAGTCACTTAGGTGGAGTAGTGGCGGTCTTGAAGTCGTGGCCCTCAATCCCACAGGCAGAGCAGAACCTAGTATCCTTAATGGGGCAGTCTTTTGTGGAATGTAGATAATAGTAGCAACTCCACCATTGAGTGACATGATGATAATGTTCAGCTTCAATGTAATGGGAGTTGTTAAAATAGTAGTAAATGGCCAGACCGTCAGCCATAGCTTGGGCAGCTATAGTCACACCCGTGAATGTGATTTTCAACATGGATGATGCTGTAGGTATCTTGGAGATGTGGTCAACTTTCGCCCAGGGGTTTTGATCTTCAATAGAAGTCTTCAGGTCGTCGAGAGGTTGAGAGGTGATCAATTTATCAAGCCTCTTAAGGAAGACAGATCGTTTGGCTCGATTTGCTGGAGATGACATGACTTGAAAACCACGGTCTAAGAGAGTAGTCATAGCAGATGATGTAAATAGTTTTTTCTGTCTCGACATCGTCGTCGCAAACTACAACAAAGGCTTCTTTCAGTGTCAGAATTGCGTTGATCTTAACATTAAGGCCATTCCCAACAGCAGTGGAAAGGGCAAGCTTCGTAGAGTCTTTCACCGTCCCACTGGAGGGTTTTATCTTGACTATTTGGAGAATTCATCTTGATCCAAAGATAAAGACGAAAGACAGAAGTTTCCGTCCCCAACGGGGATCGCAGGGAGACTAAGAAAGGTAAGTGTCAAAGCGTCTGTGACTGTACAAGATAAAGTCTACAGAGCCGCTTTCTTGCCTCAAACCTACTAAGATGTTGGGTTCTTAGTCATTCAAGCACCATGTAGGGATAAGAACGCCCTTCCACCTACCCATGGGCACAAACCACAATACCACAATCCCTCGAGAAATTAAATATAATGTTAGTATAGAAGAATCACATTGCCGTGGATGGAACCCATTTTGGAGAAAGTGGCACCCTAAGTTTGCCATATCAAGAGTAAATTTGTCCACCTACTACTTGTTTAATTTAATTCGTCAGAGAAAACAAACAAGAGTCATCATTTGACCTGATCAACGATTCATTAAGAACACCTGAAAAACTGTTGTTGGGTAAACAGTTTGCATCCTTAACCGCACGTTAACTGATGGCAAGATTTAGTGTCTGGCAGAGCAATTAACTCTCCAGACGCACAAACATGTAACTGTTGAGAGATGTTGACAGTATGCCCACCCATCTGTACTGTAGTAAGTTCGCAGGACTTGTCTCAGCCCGGGTCTTTTCTAGTCAGTGGCCAGGCTTCAAACACCTTTTATTGTACAGCAATAAAGGAATGGAACAGACTTCCCGCACATGTCATAGCATGAACCAGTTCAAGAAGAGTGCCAAAAGGTGTCTGATGAATGTCTGATGAAAGGGAGGGGAATGATTTTCTATTTTTTAGCTAACATACGTGTAAATTTTACCTTATTCCTAGTAATGACCCTCGTATTGTAGATAGGCTTAATGACCCTCGCGTAGTAGATAGTCTTTTTATATGATAATAAGATGTTATCTTCATTATAGAATAATAAGAAAATATAACCTTTATATTATAATAATAAGGTAAAAGGACCTTAATGGAAATAAGTCACTCTGTCTGACTTTTTTGGGTTGTCCCAGGTTCTCTACACATATGCTGCTATGTATGATAATTCTATGTAACTGTTTTTGTGTATACCTGAATAAACTTACTTATTTACTTAGATGGTGAGCCGGCGAATCGTACCCATTGTTTCACATGCCTGCCGCTAGGGGGAATTGCTGGCCTGTGGCCTAGTTTTAGCAAGTGACTAGCAGAGAGCAAGCACCTAGAGTCCTAGATCTATCCTGGCCTAGAGTACTCGCGCTCTTCCACATGGATGCACTTAACATATATGTCTATATACATTTGTACATACTCCATTTTTACAGTGATATATCGAGGGGATGAATATGTCACATGGTTATCAACATTCCAAAGCCACTGACTACCAGTGGCGGACCTAAACTTTTGGTGTTCTGAAGGTTGAGCTGTTATGGTCACCATGGCAACCAACAACGGCTAGGCTTACATCATACTTTAATAACCCTTCAATTTTTATTTTAGCTATTATTTTGTACTAAATTACACTATATTAATATTTTTATAAAACTCCTTCTCATACAATAGGCCAAAAATTTTAAGCAATGTTGGCCAAAGCTGCTTCAGGGGCCCCTCCGAAATTAGGGGCCCCTGAAGCTTGAGCTTCATTAGTTCCATAGTGGCTCCGTCCCTGATGACTACAGTGGCAGCGACACCACGACACCTCTAAGGCCTCGCATCTACGCCATTTTCTTTAGAAACGAAACCCAAGAGAGGTTCCTTGATGCTGGTGAGGGGTTCTTGATCTAGGGAATTGGATCTGTGCTCCAGTTCCCTGAATTAAGCCTGAATACCTTCCACATCCCCCACAGGCGCTGTATAATCCTACGGATTTAGCGCTTCCCCCTTGATTATAATAACAGTCTCTCCTCGGTGTTATTTTCGTTAATATAAACTGGCTGGAATACGTTTTTTGATGAATTAACAATTATGATGTCCCTTAACGTACCTTTTATGTCATCAACATATCGAAACAGAGGAGCGATGCGGTAGGCTGGCTGGTATATACAAATGATATCACAAATATTTAGTGTTTCTGAGGTCACACAGGCTGTAAATCATACATTTAACAATGCCTTATTTGCATTTAACATAAAATAATCAAGTCGAACTGCCTGATTAATTTCCACTCGTGTATTTGTCGAACTTATTTGCAAACTTACCAGACGCCCTCGTGCCAGTGACGCCGCTTGCCAGTGTCTGTGAGTGGGTAGCGAGTAGTGGTCAGGGGAGTAATACTTTCACTACGTCAGCTGGCCTCACACTGAGTGTCCGCTGCTCCCACCTCCACCTCTCACTTACTTTCTCGGCGTCACTTGATGACAGCCCCTCACAACTACTTGCTTTGTTGTTGTTGTTGTTGTTGCTTCTGCTACTGTTGCTGCTTCTGCTACTGCTGCTGCTTCTGCTACTGTTGCTGCTTCTGCTAATGTTGCTCCTGTTGCTGTTTCTGCTGTTGCTGCTTCTGCTACTGTTGATGCTTCTGTTACTGTTGCTGCTTCTGCTCCTGTTGCTGCTTCTGCTACTGTTGCTGCTTCTGCTACTGTTGCTGCTTCTGCTACTGTTGCTGCTTTTGCTACTGTTGCTGCTTCTGCTACTGTTGCTGCTTCTGCTACTGTTGCTGCTTCTGCTACTGTTGCTGCTTTTGCTACTGTTGCTGCTTCTGATACTGTTGCTGCTTCTGCTACTGCTGCTGCTTCTGCTGCTGCTTTTGCTACTGTTGCTGCTTCTGCTACTGTTGCTGCTTTTGCTACTGTTGCTGCTTCTGCTACTGTTGCTGCTTTTGCTACTGTTGCTGCTTCTGCTACTGTTGATGCTTCTGCTACTGTTGCTGCTTCTGCTGCTGCTTTTGCTACTGTTGCTGCTTCTGCCACTATTGTTGCTACTGCTGCTCCTACCTGGAGTATACCTGGAGGGGGTTTCGGGGATCAACGTCCCCTTGGCCCGGTCTCTAACCAGGCCTCGTGGTGGATCAGGGTCTGATCAACCAGGCGGTTACTGCTGGCCGAACGCAAACCGACTAGTCAGGTACTGACTTTAGGTGCCTGTCCAACGCCTTCCTGAACACAGCCAGGGGTCTATTTGTAATAAGAACATAAGAACATAAGAACGAAGGAACACTGCAGAAGGCCTACTGGCCCATGCGAGGCAGGTCCAAGTCCCTACCGGCTTAAGCCAATGCACCCAACCTAGTCAGGTCAGGTCACATTGACTCAAGGGAGGAACACGGCAACCGACCCGTTAGCACAAGCTATCAGGTCTAACTCACACCCACCCACATCTACTCATGTATTTATCCAACCTATTTTTAAAGCTACACAACGTTCTGGCCTCTATAACGGTACTTGGGAGTTTGTTCCACTCATCCACAACTCTATTACCAAACCAGTACTTTCCTATATCCCTCCTGAATCTGAATTTTTCCAACTTAAAACCATTGCTGCGAGTCCTGTCTAGGCTAGATATTATCAGCACACTATTTACATCCCCTTTATTTATTCCCGTCTTCCATTTATACACCTCAATCATATCCCCCCTAATTCTACGTCTTTCTAGAGAGTGCAGTTTCAGGGCCCTTAGTCTATCCTCATAGGGAAGGTTTCTGATACATGGGATCATCTTTGTCATCCTCCTTTGTACATTTTCCAGAGAATTTATATCCATTCTGTAATACGGTGACCAAAACTGTGCAGCATAATCTAAATGAGGCCTAACCAAGGATGTATAGAGTTGAAGAACAACCTGAGGACTCCTATTATTTATGCTTCTTGATATGAAGCCAAGGATTCTATTAGCTTTATTGCGAACACTTATGCACTGTTGTCTTGGTTTCAGATTACTGCTAACCAGAACTCCTAAATCTTTTTCGCAATCCGTAATATTAAGATCTACATTATTTAGTTTATATGTGGCATGGTTATTGTCCTGTCCAACATTTAGAACTTTGCATTTGTCTATATTAAACTGCATCTGCCACTTCTCCGACCACTGCATCAGTCTATTCAAATCTTCCTGGAGTGCTCGAATGTCCTCGTCAGAATGAATTCGACGGCCTATTTTGGTGTCATCGGCAAACTTGCCGATGTCGCTTTTTATGCCCTCATCTATGTCGTTTATGTAGATTGTGAACAGCAGGGGGCCCAACACTGACCCCTGTGGAACACCGCTCGTGACGCTTCCCCACTCTGATTTCTCCCCATTTATGCAAACTCTCTGCTGCCTATTTGTCAACCATGCCTCTATCCAGGAAAAAATTTCTCCTCCTATTCCATGTGCTTTAATTTTCCTCAATAGTCTCTGATGTGGGACCCTGTCAAAAGCCTTACTGAAGTCCATATACACAATATCATATTCGTTACCATGATCTACCTCCTCAAATACCTTAGTGAAAAAAGTTAATAAATTCGTAAGGCAGGAACGTCCCTTTGTAAAACCATGCTGAGATTCGTTGATTAATTTATGCTTTTCAAGGTGGCTACGAACTGCCTCGGCAATTATTGATTCCATAAATTTTCCCACTATGGAGGTTAGGCTTATTGGTCTATAGTCCCCCCTTATGTTATCTGGGAGGCAGTTGAACAGACTTGGGTCCATGACATTTACTGTGTTGTATCTTAGTGTACTCGTGACGTCCCTGCTTTTCATTGGGGGATGTTGCATCTCCTGTCCAGTCTTTTGCTTTCGTAGGGAGTGATTTTCGCGTGCAAATTTGGGACTAGTCCCTCTAGGAATTTCCAAGTGTATATTATCATGTATCTCTTATGTCTGCATTTCAGGGAGTACATATCAAGGAACTTCAACCGTATCCAGTAATTTAGGTGCTCTATCCTACTTATACATGTCGTGAAAGTTCTCTGTACATTCTGCAGATCTGCAATTTCGCCTGCTTTGAAAGGCGCTGTTAGTGTGCAGCAATATTCCAGCCTAGAGAGAACAAGCGATCCGAAGAGAATCATGGGCTTGGCGTCCCTAGTTTTGAAAGTTCTCATTATCCATCCTATCATTTTCCTAGCAGATGAGGTAGATACATTGTTGTGATCTTTAAAAGTGAGATCCTCTGACTTTATCACTCCCAGGTCCTTCACATTAGTTTTTCGCTCTATTGTGTGATTAGAATTTGTTTTATAATCTGATGGACTTTTAATTTCCTCGAGTTTTCCATATCTGAGGAGTTAAAATTTCTCTTCGATGCACTTCATATTGTTTTCAGTGGCTCGTGTAAAGATCTGGTTGATGTCCACTTGGAGTCTTTCAGTGTCATCGATGGATGACACTGTCATGAAAATTCGGGTGTCATCCGCAAAGGAAGACACAGTGCTGTGGCTTACATCTTTGTCTATGTCAGATATGAGGATAAGGAACAGGATGGAGGCGCGTACTATGCCTTATGGGACAGAGCTTTTCACTGTGGCTGCCTCAGACTTTATTCTGTTTACTATTACCCTTTGTGTTCTGTTTGTTAGGAAGTTATAGATCGATCTACCAACTTTTCCTGTTATTCCGTTATCACGCATTTTGTGCACTATTACACCATGATAGCACTCGTCGAAGGCTTTTGCAAAGTCTATGTATACTACATCAGCGTTTTGTTTGTCCTCTAGTGCATCTAAGACCTTGTCATAGTGGTCCAGTAGCTGGGACAAACAGAAGCGACCTGCTCTAAACCCGTGCTGCCCTGGGTTGTGTAACTGATGGATATCTAGATGGGTGGCGATCTTGCCTCTTAGAACCCTTTCAAAGATTTTTATGATATGGGACGTTGGTGCTATAGTCTATTTTTTTTTCAATTGTTCTACTTCCACCTTTGTGAAGGGGTTTCGTGTGTATCGTGCACTCTGGGCACAGAGAGTGCATCATTAGGTCATTTGAGAGACATTCGAGTTGTTCAGTAGTTTTTAGTGCTTGATCATCCCCCAGGATGCGACCCACAACGATCGACTAACTCCCAGGTACCTTTTTACTGAAGGTTAGCAGGGACAGTGGGTGTAAGGAGACTCGCCCGTATGTCTCGCCCTGCCCAGGGGCCAGACTATGTCTGTTGTTTTAAGTGACTCTGGGATGACCCCTGTGTCCATGCTCCCTCTCCATAGAATACTGAAGACAAGTGAAAAGGGCTTCTTGCATTTCTTGATGAACACTAAGTTCCACAAGTCTGGGCCTGGGGCAGAGTGCATGGGTATGGGGCAGAGTGCATGGGTATGTCATTTATTGCTTTTTTGAAATCTTGTGGTGTTAGGATAATATTGGAGATTTTTGAATTGACCAGATTTTGAGTCTCGTTCATATAAAATTCGTTTAGATTTTCGACTCTTAGTCTAGTTAAAGGTTCACTAAACTCTGAATCATATTGGGACTTTAGTATCTCACTCATTCTTTGTTGTCATCTGTGTAAGCCCTATCTCGTATAAGCAGGAGTCCAATACTTGATGTTTTGGCCATAGATTTGGCATAAAAAAAGATATTTTTTTTTCCAGTTTCATTGATGGCTTAAAGTTCTTCCCGAATTTCTTGCCTCCTGTATGATTCCTTAAGCTTAAGTTCGACATTTGCTATTTCTATGACTTGTGCTTCCCTTTGTATTTCAGATATAATGGCCCCTTCAGCGGCTCTGTGATTCTTCGTCTTCGCCTGTATAGGGAGCATCTCACTCTTTCTAGCTTACATCTTCTCTTCCTTTTTCTTAAAGGAATGCACCTTAAGTAGATCTCAAGTGCCACAGAATTAATTCTTCTTAGGCAAAGGTTTGGAGCCGTGATGTTTAGGATATCTTCCCAGCTTGTTTCATTTAGGACATGGTTGACTTGATCCCATTCTGGTTTTGTTATAGAAGTTGAATTTGGTGAAGGCACCTGGTTATATTTTGCTGGTCAGGAGCCCTGCGCATACATGTCTGTACCTCTATTATGTTGTGGTCTGAGTGTATTGTCTTTGATGCTGTTATATTCCATATCAGATCATCAATGTTGGTGAAGATGATGTCTAATGTATTTTCCAGTCTTGTTGGCTCTGTTGTTTGCTGGTTTAAAGTGAATTTATTGCAGAGATTTAATAGTTAATGTGTGTGTGAATTTTCGTCTGAGCTGCCTCCTGGGATTATCTCTGCTAAAACATTATTTGCTACACTCTTCCACTTTAGGTGTCTTAAGTTGAATTGTCCCAGCAGCAAGATGTTTTGAGCAGGAATTAGATTTTCCAGACAGTGGTTA